AAAAAAAAAAAAAAAAAGGGATTTTAAATTTGAGAAAGACGGGGTAGCAGAACACTAATTTAAAAATTCAAGTTTGTGCAATGACTAACTTGAAAAATTCGAGCATTTTCTTTACGGAAAAGCTCTACAAGCACTTCCCACCGTGAATCGCCGAAAAGACTTTCATACGCTTTCTCCCCGTAAGTATGACCCAATCCAATCAAACCCATCACCTAAAAAAACCAAAAAATACAAAATGTGATTTATCTGCAGGAAACTTAAGCGAAACCAATTCGAAAACAAGCTATTCTGTGAGGTTCTCTCAACTGGCCTTCTGCAACGGGATAGAACTTGTCCATACTTGCGCCGGCAAATTAGAAAAATATCGGCGAGCATAAAGAGCAGCTTGAATACGTTCGCCTGAAAACCTCTTTGTAGAGAGACAAACAAACAAATAGACTGACGCTTTAAAAATCAGGCTTATCAAATCCAGAGAAAAAACATTAGCTGTGGCGCAAAGTCTGCGTTAATGTCGAATAATATACTAATAAGAGTAAGCCAATTTAGTAAACCTTTTCTGACCAGCTCCACACACTCTTGTATGCGTACAGTGACTTCAAAATTGCTTTTTAACCGACGAAGCTTTGATTTGTTATCCATTATCCATTCCATGCAACGGTCAGTTTCATGACGCGATAGACTATCCTCAACCTGCAGCGCTTTTTTAATGATCAAATAACCTTCCAAAATCTTCAAGGTTAGCTAAATAAACAGAATACTCTTCCTCCACTTTAATCAAAACAACTACAACTAACTTGTCTAGCAATCTCAAATATCGTCTTATTGCACATGTCCTGAACATCTGAATGTTCAGCTAGCTTCTGAGCCGTCTCAAAATAGCCTGATCGCAAAAGGTAATCAATTATAAGACGGTCGACCCTCTGCTGTCGCCAAGCAGCAACTGCCCACTTGTCTCCTGAGTTCGCCTTAACAAACAAATTTTAAAAACAAGGCTGGCAGAGGACTATATTAAACAGAGCAGTACAAATAGAGACTATTGGTGCTTTTACAAACAAAATGATATTATTATTGGAGTTTCTCCTTAAGAAACAAAATTTACAAATGACGCCTTCGAACTTTTCCCACTTCAAGAAATAATGCGCAATCTAACAGTCAAACCCAGTAGAGTATTAGAAAGATCTTTTTCTTTAACGATAATTCAAAAGCAATACAAACTGCAAAGATTTTGGTGAAAATTACTGCAGTTAAGCGTAAAGCGCTTAAAACCGCCGGAGAGATTACAACCCAGTTCTCAGCCCGGCATAAGAACAAAAATACAGCTAAAAAAAACATAAAAAGGAGCATTACTCTGAAAGAATCAAAAAAAAAATTCTATAAAAATAACCCATAATCAAAAAACTTTATAAAAGTAAAAAAAAAAATAAAATTCTATAAAAATATAAAAATAAAAAATGAGAACAAAAATACAGCTAAAAAGCATAAGGAAGGGGCATTGCTTTGACAGAATCAAAAAAAAATTCTATAAAAATAACCCCTTTCAAGTAATGTAATCTTGACTCCAACAGCTTTGCCATTGCAAACTCGTCATCAATAGACTGCGGCAAACATTGCTGCAGAGCTTCTAGCCTTTCCAGAACAGCTTTTGCATCCGCAGCAACCTAGAAAGGTACAATAAAATTAAATGGGAAAGATGATCATGTAAATTAAAATAAAGAAAACATTGATCAAACAAATTCAAAAGTCAAAGTAAAAAAGGCCTCAGTTTAAATTCCTGTACCTTTTTAACCGCAACAACTTTGCTTTCCTTGCTATCTTCAAATTTACTCAGCAGATGAGATCCAGCTTCCTTGATTCGATAATTATGCCGATCAATTGCTTTTTGAGCAATGCGAAATTTCTTATTTAGTAATTCATAAGGTACTTTTAGAGCTGAATACTCTAAAGCAGTGATTTCGTCGACTTTTGTTACCGTGTTCATGGCCACTTACACTCCTGTATATTTTTACAGAGAGATTATGGGCAAAGAAGAAAAAAATTGTAGTTCCAGAAGCACAAATCTCTTTAAAACACCATCCAAAGCATTACAACCAAAGCCAACCACACGATTGGCAACGATCG